TTAACATTTTTTGTCCTTTCCTATTTGTTTTTGGCTACATTAAAGCATTTTTTTGAAAATATACAGTAAGGTTCCATATTACCACCCGATTTTCTCTAAGCCTACTTTCGGACTTTTTGTACAAAACCTTTCAAAAACCATACTTATAATTACACTAGCGAAAAATCCAATCAGGAACGTTTAGTTTACTAGTTACCAGTACTTTTCGCACCAAAAATGTGGGTGTAGTTATGATACCTTGTTTACAATTCACTAAAATGTAATTGGGGTTCCATAATATCACCTTTTCCTATACGTGTTTTGGAAATGTTGAGTCGAATTAGCCTAGGAATCGATTAATTTTATGGAAGAAAACCTTTCAAACAGCTGTAGCCCGTGAACTTCACACGTGTCGGGCTATGATTTGCAAGGTCTCCTGAAACATCAATTTCATAAAAAACGGAACGTATCTACCGTGTTATAGGGGGGTCGACTGTATTTGTTGATTAGCTACGCGGTTTTTAGTGAAGTGCGATTTTTTCGTTTATCCGAAAAAGTTCCGTGTTATGTGAATTCATTCTATAAGAAACAAAGAACTGATGTATAACATAGGGATAGGTTCCGAAAGTTAAAAAAAAAAAATACTATTGTTTACTAAAGCAATTAATAATTTATTTCCAATCAATAATTAACTAACAATCACAATTAAAAGTACTGTAATATTAAATTCAGTTAAACCAGGATACATTTTCTTTTTCGAAGTATCGCGGTCTTCTTAGCTTTCTTATTGATCTCGATCAGAAATATCAGCAACATCTCCATTTTTTATATTTTATTACCATAAAATCTATACTAATATTATAAAGAGGTAATGTTTGTAAGTATGTATGTACGTAAGTTTGTTTGCAGCAGGTAATCTCCGAAACTACTCATCCGATTTCAAAAATTCTTTCACCAATATTTAGAATGGAACTTCAGGGTGGACATAGGCTGTATAACATTCATATAAATTAAAATATATAATCTAGATTAAGGCTTTTACGTTCAACAGATGGCGCTACGAGTTTGCTTTTCTTTGAGGCATTATTATTATTTATTTGCAGAACGTACGAATTATGGATTTGAACGAAAAGTCTGGTTAAGGTTGGGTGGGAACAGAGAAGACACATAAAAAGAAAGTCACGAGTTCAAACAAAGAAACTGTTAAAGTTTCTGTATAACAGGTACAAGTTTTGGACGGAATAAGTCGGAAGTTATTTCCGATTACAATTTTTAGCTTTGCTATTTCTTTATTGGATGTATTATATGTCGGGCCCCGTCCCTCACCACCCGGCAGCCCCATTGGAGACTTGGCCGAACCCATAATGGGCTTGCAAAAAAGAGGTCCTCTTAGTGCCCACAGGGCGGAAAGAGTTAATTAAAGAAAAAAAATTCTAATAACGAGTAAAATCTTCATTAAGTCCGATTCCACTGAGATACGACACGTAACCCCCTTGACCTTTAACCACCAAAATTTAATAGCATTAATGCCCTTTATACACAATATACCATGCCAAATTTCGTTTCTTAATCGTTACTCTATTCTGAGATATTAAACGAAATAGATACCAGCAGGCACGCAACCGCTAAATTTCCCCCTTTTTTAATACTTTTTTTGGGTTCAGGAAATCTTCTGAACTCAAAAATAACCATGGAGATTTGGAAAAAAGAAAACGGGGAGTCAAATTCGAGACTGTTCCAATATTTTCTCGTGTTACGTACAGTACGGTACGTAACAAGTCGGAAAAGTAAAAAGACCAAACATTTATAATTTGCCGCAATTGATATAACATCAGTTGCAGCAATTTTTAAATGATTTGTGAAAAAATTATTTTAATAACGTCTTCTTTTACAATAAAAAATGATTTAAAACGATGGAGTCGGTTTTTATTTCATTCACTTCATTGTATTATAAAAAATACACGTAAATACAAAAATATTAATATCGTCTGCGTGGTGTTAAACTAAAATACAAAATTGATAATACTGTACTGCGATTTTAAATTTTATTATTATTATTTTAGTTCTATTGAAATAATTCATTTCGATTTTGTTATGCGAATTTAATGTATAACACTTAAAATCGTTATTTTCGGTTTTATGGATCCCGGATACAACACATCCGTTCCGTCTGTAAAAAGATTTTTTCCACTAGTGATGATTTGCACACGGCATACAAGAAGCAATCGTTATGCCAATTTCGGCCTTTGAAAGATGTATAGTGCGTTCCATTAATGCCTATAAATATAAAAAAACGGAGTAAATAAATTTAATTCTGTTGCAAGTATAGAACAATTAAATAAAGCTAACCGATAACTGGTCTGTTGCAGCCGCTGCATCTGTTTGCAAACAAATTTCCGAAGCATTGGACACAATCAGTTTATCGTCTTTGGGTGCGAATCGCCGTCCCTCCAAACACACCTGACTCGTGCTGCAACAGAAACATTGACTATGCCAAAGTTTGTTGCCATAAATAACACCGTCGGTGGTGACAATTTGATGACACTCGAAGCAAGTTAAAGTAAACTTCTGTTGGTAACAGGTGTTGCAATGTCGTTAACTTTTGAACGAAGCCTTCGTTGCCTACGAAGTTAGCGCGGGCAACGTAACAGAATTTCATAGAAAAGTCTTGATCGGGAAGTTGTGTAATTAGTTGTGTTTAAACAATATTTTTCACCGGGAGTTCCAGATTTAGGCACTTTTCCGGAAGGAATCCGCACGAAGTACTATTAGATCTGAAAATACGAAAACCAATAGAGATGACAAGTCTGTAACTTCGATTGAATTGCCTTTGTACCGTAATTTTTTACTTTGGAGCTAAGCTTGTGGTACCAACGATTATTCTTCCTCTACGGCAGTTCATTTATCTTGTACTCCGTTTTGTTCGAGTCGATCCTCAAGTCCTATACAAACTCGGGCGTTAAACGCGCCATCTAGACGAATTTCGTGGCATTTACAATGATCGCAGATAGCTCTAACAGGGAAAACAAAACTAATTATCGTGGTATATTTAATCGTTATTCACTTATATATTTCGAGTTGTCTACCTCCAAGCTTAAGGTTAATAATCCGGGCACTGACTTTTGCACTTTA